AGTTTGAAAGTACCTCTGCTTTCCCGTCTTCTCTCCTTAAATGGTTGTCGCTTCCCACCTCCCACGGAGGGATGAGTTAGGCTGGGAGCTGCCGCCGCCTCGGGTACCCGCGCCGAACCCTCGGTAAGCCAAGGTTGGTATTTCTTACTCTTCCCTGCTGGGGAGGGACACGAGCTCCCCGTTAGCCAGGCTGGGATGCCGTCCCCGCTGGCCTTCTCACGGCCAACGAACCTGCGGGGGAAGGTGGTGGCTGGGCTGAAGTTTTGTATCCCGGGGTGCTGGCTATCGCAACTGCCAGCCCTCCCTTGGCGTCGACGCTCAAGGTGAGCTGCACAGGAGACCGAGGAGATCCTGCGTACCAGCAGAGCTGCGATGGGGCCTTTGGGCATTTTACTGCTCAAAATTGTGCCTGCAGACACAGTCATGCGGTGTCTCCGTAGGCAGAAGCATGTCCAGCGTTGCCCCAGGCTGTGGGGCGCAGTCCGGTCTCAGCTGAGTGCTAGGGGAAGTTCAGATGCTGGGAAGGGGGTTTCTCAGGTGCTCCATATCGCTTATGTTTAGATACAACAAACACCTTCCTGGAAGACCAAGGTTTTACTTACCCTGAGTGAGGGCCGGCGGTTTGATGCGGGAATGGGTACGCTCTTGCGGGGTTAGGGGCTCGTGGTCCAGGTGCTTCTTGCCAAGGCCTAGACTCCTCTCTTGAGGTGTGTTGGCCTGGTTCACTGGTGGGTTTTACTCTTCTCAAAGTTGCTATCAGGTTTTGCTGGACATTTCTAGAAAGACTGGAACTTTTCCTGAGCAAAACGCCTGTGAGGCCAGGCAGCACCTCTGGTGTAGGTTGTTCGGCTCCAGCATCCTTTCATTCCACGGTTTGGTAGGAGGTTCAGCCGAGCCATTGCTTTAACACTTCTTTTATCTTCGCAGTGTGCCGTGCACAGTACCTGCAGGCTCCGTGCTTTGTCTGTGGGTGGGATGAGGTTGAGGGCAAACCTTCCCCTGAGCTCTCTGGCTCATCCTAGTCAACAAGCACTGCCTGGAGAGGGGGAAATCTCTTAGGTACATCCCTTGGGTAACGTGCCCGATACTGGAACCACAGGAGGAATTGCTTCACGGGGGTGTTTCAGCTGGGGTTGGATCGGTTTGGGATTTGCCTTGATATCTGTAAAATCTAACCCAATAGCTTCTTGATTGCTCAGCCAGTGCCCCCAGCGGGGCTGGGAGATCCAACGACTGACATCGTACGGGGTAACGGCTGAGCTGACTGGGACCTGGGCAGTTGTGCTGCCTCTCGTGAGAGCACGCCGCTCAAAAGTGTGCTTGGCAGTGGTCGGGCAGAGCCCAGCCCTTCTGGGCCGAGCACACCATGTCCCACGCCCTCCGCACAGCAGCAAGGGAGGGGGCTCCAGTTTTGGTTAGCTCCCCAACACTGGTTTCCTGGTAGCTTTGCAGGGATGCAGGAGAGTTTTCAAAGTGAGCTGTGGGGGGAGGTTGACTAGAGAGTTGCCTGTCTTTCCTCTGAGACCTGACACGAGCTGTCTTCTTCCTTGCAGAGAGAGCTGCTCCCTGGGCCGCCTCCCTTGCCCTTCCCAAATGTGAGCACATCGCAGCCAGCACGGAGAAGGGCATCATCCTCTTGTCTTCAAGGCACTTGCTTCTGCCTCCTGTTCTTTTGCCTGAAAGAGAAAAAGCCAAACCAAATCAGTCCACGAAGAACTTGTGCTGATCTAAGGAGGAGGCTCTGTAGTCTGTCATCTCTTTGCTTCCCCATATCCTGGCTGTGGGCTGAATTTTCTGTCCTTGGCTTCAGGGGATCAGCTACGGGGAAATCAGGATCTTGGATACTTTCGATTTTTGTTTTTACTTGAACCCTTTCAACTGAGAAGCTGAAGCTGTCACTGCTAAAACCCCGTTTTTTTTTCCCAAGCATGTCAGAAAGCTGGCAGCAGCAACAGCAGCAACCACAGCAGCCGCAGCAGCCACCGCCGCCGCAGCAGCACCACGCTGGGGCAGCCGCCCTCTCAGAGCACTCCATCCCGCCCAGCACTGCTGACAACCCCCTGGGCTGTGCCGTCTACGGCATCTTGCTCCAGCCGGACCCCGGCCTGCAGCACCACCAGCACGTGTCCATCCAGGCGGGAGAGCCGGCCCACAAATGCGGGGTGTGTGGCCACGACCTCGCTCACCTCTCCAACCCCCATGAGCACCAGTGCTTGCCAGGCCATGACCGCTCTTTCCAGTGTACCCAGTGCCTGAAGATCTTCCACCAGGCCACCGACCTCCTTGAGCACCAGTGCATCCAGGTGGAGCAGAAGCCCTTCGTGTGCGGCGTCTGCAAGATGGGCTTCTCCCTCCTGACCTCGCTGGCGCAGCACCACAACGTCCACAACGGCAACGCCATGAAGTGCTCTATCTGTGAGAAGACCTACAAGCCTCCCGAGGCAGAGCCTTCACAGCCTCTCGACCCCTCGGAGAAGCCCTACAGCTGCTCCATCTGTCAGAAAACCTTCAAGCACCTCTCGGAGCTGTCCCGGCACGAGCGCATCCACACGGGCGAGAAGCCGTACAAGTGCACGCTGTGCGACAAGAGCTTCAGCCAGTCGTCCCACCTGGTGCACCACAAGCGGACGCACAGCTCGGAGCGGCCCTACAAGTGCACGGTGTGCGAGAAGACCTTCAAGCACCGCTCCCACCTGGTGCGCCACATGTACGCGCACTCGGGGGAGCACCTCTTCAAGTGCAACGTCTGCGAGCTGCACTTCAAGGAGTCGTCGGAGCTGCTGCAGCACCCCTGCACGCCCAGCGGCGAACGGCCCTTCCGCTGTGGCGAGTGCCAGAAAGCCTTCAAGCGTCCCTCGGACCTGCGGCAGCACGAGCGCACGCACAGCGAGGAGCGGCCCTTCAAGTGCGACCTCTGCCAGATGAGCTTCAAGCAGCAGTACGCACTCATGCGCCATCGCCGCACGCACAAGGCCGAGGAGCCCTTCAAGTGCAACCTGTGCGAGAAGGGCTTCGTGCAGCCCTCGCACTTGGTGTACCACCAGCACGTGCACGGCATAGAAAACCTCTTCAAGTGCAACGTCTGCCAGAAAGGCTTCAACCAGTCCTCGGAGCTGCTGCGGCACAAGTGCGTGCAGAACGCCGAGCGGCCCTTCAAGTGCGCAGTGTGCAACAAGTCCTACAAGCGGGCCTCGGCTCTGCAGAAGCACCAGCTGGCCCATTGCACCGAGAAGCCGCTCAAGTGCACGCTCTGCGAGAGACGTTTCTTCTCCTCCTCCGAGTTCGTGCAGCACCGCTGCGACCCGGCCCGCGAGAAGCCCCTCAAGTGCCCCGACTGTGAAAAGCGGTTCAAGTATGCCTCGGACCTGCAGCGCCACCGGCGCGTGCACACGGGCGAGAAGCCCTACAAGTGCCCCTCCTGCGAGAAGGCCTTCAAGCAGCGCGAGCACCTCAACAAGCACCACAGCGTGCACGCCCGGGAGCAGCAGTACAAGTGCATGTGGTGCGGGGAACGGTTCCTGGACTTGGGCCTGCTGCAGGAGCACAGCGTCCAGCACACGGCCGAGGGCGCCTACCAGGTGGCTGCCTGCTTGCCGTGAGCCTCCCGCCCCTCCGGCGGCTTTCAGCTTTCGTGTGACGCTCCCGAGCCTGGGCCTCCCCTTCCCTCTCCTCGGTTGTAGACGGCCTCCAGGGAGTTTGAGGGCAAGGCGAGGGACGGTGCGCGGGCGGGTAAACTTTCCTCTGGCTTCCGTGGTTGATAAACCACCTGATTGCAGGGGTGACGGGCGTGAAGTGCTCGAAGGGGTGGAGGGGAAAGGAGGGAGGTGGGGAAAGGAAACGATGCCTGTAGTTGCCTGGTGTCCCCTGGACTGTGGTTCGCAGTGTTCCTGCAGTTCAGCGCTGGGTGCTCAGCTGCCCATTGCGGGCACCGGCCCTTCGCCTGCGGCCTCTTTCCCCTGCCCTGTGGGGAGGGCTGGGTAGCTCTTCTGGAGAGGGCTCCGGAGCGAGGCAGAGCCAGCCCTCCCTTCTCCCGGGGTGCGTTGCTCGGCGAGGAAGTAGCAGGTTTCCACTGCTGGGATCTCCCAACTTTCTCGGTCCAGGCTCAGTTGAGAGGACCACGTCAGATCGTTAGTGCTGATTGACTGCCCTGACCTCCCCTGCTCTCCCTCTTTCTAGAGCATAGAAAGGGAAAAGCCATGGGGCTACCCAGCTCCAAAAAGCACTTTGGCATTGCTGCTTTCGCAGTCGCTGGCTGTCGCACTCTGCAGGGGTTCTGAGCGAGCCTCCCCGCCCCCGTCCCTGCCAGCAGCGCGGGGAAGACCAGCAGGCGCTGGCTGGCGTGGTGAGGAGAGCCCCCGTGCCCTGCTCCTGGCCGAGAGCCCGGTGTTTAAGAGCTGCTTTCCGAGGGACCCAGCTCTCCTGCCAAAACTTCCCTCCAGCCCGCAGGCCCCTTCCCTCTTCGCACCGCCTGGGCCGGTAGCGTACCCCTGGGGGGCGGGCGAAGGGCCATCCCAGCGGTTCGAACACTAAAGTGTGAGGCCAACACTACTAATAACCTACAGCTTCGGAGGCGTTACCAGCGCCGAGGGTAACCCGTGCCGTGTGCCAGGGGCTTGGTGTCTGATGTGCTGGGAGAGGCACCGGAGCAAGCCAGGAGAATCCTTCCTGGCCTGCAGGCTCGACCCGGGGAGGGGGAGGGGAGCAGTGGGGAAAGAGAGAACGGGCGTTT